ATAGAATGAGAAGCCTTATGGTTTTTCAGCTTGAAAAACTGTTACTACAAGTGAGTGGTTGTCCCAACACAGTTCCTAGAATGGGAGTTATGGGGCTTTTCCTGTTAATAGGTGGTTAGAATTAGACCATCAACGCTCAAATTCTTATAATCCATCTCCAAAACGTAGCTCAGTCAGCTGCACAGTGAGTCTCTGTATGGAAAAAACTTAGAATGGGCTTGAGATGGTTTTTTGATTCATAATGGTCGAGCTTACAGTAGAATACAACAGAAATTCAGAATTTAGTGTAGTGTATAATAAATACTTGCAGTTTGTATTCATAGCTCAAAAAATGGCTTTGTGAAAATTTGTGAAAGTATTTTTAACATGAGGTTGCTTTGTTACTTGAATTTTCTTCCTAACTTTCTTTCCTTTGATGTCTGTTTCTCTTTCACAAGCAGGAGCAACCGTCAGGGTAACAGGTATCTGACTATTTACCAATCTTGTATGTGGTCTCCATCTACTCAAGCAGAAAAGATGTATGAATCTTGTTTTCATACATCTGCAGTCCCATCCATATTAAAAACCACCTGTCTGCATTCATGGATTGACTGTCATACCATAGTTTGCTTTTCCCTTTCATAATGCATTTAAAAGTGAGACTGCATTTATTAGTGCCAGAGCAAATATTTTGCTTCATCATCTTTTATGAAACAATTGGACCCTGACCTATGTTGCTTAGTCACTGCTGAATCTCCTGGTTTCAGTCTGTTTGGGGAAAAAAAGATCAGTGTTGGCATTAAATATTCTCTTCAGTGTAAAATTTTTTTCAAAATAAACCCCATATTTCACATCTTTCAAAGAGCAGAGAATTTACTACTACCCAAAGTAAAATAAATGGTTTGTTACAATTTTAAAGGCATTTGGTTCCAGAATTATTCAGAGCAAATTTTTACTTACAATAAAGAGCAATTGGGATTCATAGTTTCTTTGGGATCTGGCACTTCAAATGACTACAGGACTTAACCAGCTGGTGCCCAGCTGCATTTGATTTCTATTCTTTCTGCAGTTCTGTTTTTCACATTTTCCCCTCAGTTACTCAGTGCCTTTGGTTTAATATTATTCTGCAGAACACTGACTATATATACACCCCATTCAAGCTACAACTGAAATTTTTTAAAAATAAATTGTTATGCTGCATACACTGGGGAAAACTTGCAATATTATTATTATTATTTCCTAGAATCTCTAAAGCCTGTAGACTAATTTTATGGAGCTGCTTAGGTAGTGGATGTGTGGAGACACACTTCAAACTATGCACAATAAATGCAGTGAACCCAAGATGGATAAAGATGGAGGTTAGGCTGTAGTAATACTATGTTTTAGCTCACACCATAGTTCAACAAAACACTAGTTAACAGAATTTTCAAGCTAAATGCCCAAACTCTTTGGGTGTATTAAGGTGATTGTTAAAATGACAAACTTTTTTGTGAAATTTGAATTCTCAGGAGCTGTTTTAACTTAAGCTCAATTCATTAAAAAAGGGGAAGCTCCAAACCCTGTTCTGTCAGTATGTGACTGAAAAAGTAGATACTCCACCTTTTTGGACAGTTCTTACAAGGTAAAAAAGTTGCACTGTTGTTTGAAGAGATGTAAAAAAACAAAAATGTTTGTTTTTAAAAGCTGAGAAGTTCTGTGGAGAAAACTCTGTCTTCTCCATTCAGTATTATACTAAACAAGGATAACTTGCCATTTTAAAATATGAAACCAGTCCCTTCCCATGCCAGGAAGCACTGGAATGCCTACGGATGCCTGTGTCTGCATAGAAATGTCTGACATGCACATACTAATGACACTAATGTTTCCTCCCATTGTGATGCTTAAATACTGCTTGTAACATCAGTGTGACAAACAATGTAACCTGGAGGTCTTTGTTTTGTAGCTGTGCTGGGTTATCACTTGTTTAGAATACAGTAGCATTTCCCAAAGATTTTCTTATCCAACATTCACTTGGACTTGGTGCCTTTCACTGGAATTCTGACCTGTAGGAAGTGGATTCCAGCTGCGTTGACCACCAATGTGGTGTTTAACAACTCATAGGCTTTTTCTCAGAGAAGGGATTCAGGGTTGTTGTTTCCATTCCAGTTACAGCTGAATTGTGTTGAAGTTTCAGCTGAAAGAGTGAGAAAGGGTGGGGTCAGGAATAACCTGGAATCAGCCACAGGACTACTGAGCATGTTGTTTCCTTTGCAGCTGAAACCCAACTGGACATACAGCTCCAACCCTGGCCCCCAGCTCAGCAGTGACCCTTTTGAAGACCTGTCATTCCAGCTGCTCATGTCCCAGATGCAGACATGTGTCCGAACATCACCCGCTCCAACCTTAAGCCAGGAGTTGACACCTTTGCCTTCAGCAGCACAAAGAAACGCTGATAATTTGAATACTATAAACTGCATGCCAGCAATGCCTCCTATTCCAACCTTCCACTCATCCCAGGAGCATAAGCGCACCTCTCCAAATCCATTTATTACTGGGCTGAACTGCGCAAATCCATTCACTGAAAGGACTCCTAATGCTGGGAACCCGTTTAGGATGGAAACGCAAGGGTCCGGAATAACCTCGCAGGTATGGGAAGGACCTGCAGTTTCCCATCCTTTCCCTTCCCTGCCCCGCCCCAGCTGTAACACAGCCAAGCCTCTATTTTCTGTGGATGCAGCTGAAAACACGTTTTGCTTGCCAAGTAAATCTCTCAAGGCAGAAAATGTGCAGCCCAAGGGGTGGGTGACATTTGATGAGGACGAGAACTTCAATCTGAAGCTAAAGCCATCTACAAGTGTCCCGGATTTTCAGAGACTCGGCTCCAGGAAGTCAGCTGGATCTCCAGGTTTGCTGGGCACTGAACAAAAGACTTTCCTTGGTTCAGACTTTAACTTTGGTGATGACTGGAATAAAAGCTCTACTGATTGCTTCTGTGCAATGCCAGCAAGGAGACCCCCTGCACCCCCTGTACCATCCAGAGCAACCAGCAACAGGTCCCCTGCAGATCCTTTCGCCTCCCCAGCACCCCAGGTGTCACCAACTCATGATTTTACAGAAAGATAGTTGTTCAAAGATACAACAGGTTGTATTTGTTGCTACATTTATCCAGTAGAATAATTGGGTATTTGAGATTATTCTGTGTGCAATAATTAAGTGTTAAATGCACTGAAACTTAACTCTACTCATAAACAGCCACTATTGCTTGTGTATAAATTTTGAATGTGTATATATGGTAGAGCACAAAAAATTGTCTGAATTTTATTAAAATTCTGAGGTAATAGTATTTGAACAGACAGAAAAAGAGAAGAAGGATGAGCTACTGATCTCATTAAAATCTGGACATAGATTTTGCTTAGGGAGCTCTCTCATTTCTGATCCCCCTTGTGGAATTCCACAGAAAGAGGCTCCCTGCCGGTAGCCTCCCCCCTCCCTTTTGACTGTTTTGTTAATTGTATTTATAAGTATTTACCAAAGAGCTGCCAAAGTTTATTGAGATTTGAATGTTGAAAAGTATTGTTTAGAAGTTGTTTTAATTTATAACAGAGGCTATGGATATTTGTAAGGCTTATATTTGAATTTGAGGCACAACGAAAGTAGTTTACTTTCAAAATACAAACAAAACTTTGCATATTAATATATTCAACTAATTTTCTGTGTCAGTACATTTCAGCTATTAAATCCTATTGTGACATACACTCACTAGCACTAATTCAGAATAATTGTTCCATATCATCTATTTATTCATTACTATTTTAACTATATATTTTTTTTCCAGAAATTAGAAACAACATATAGAAAAAGTTTTCCCTCAACCTCTTGAAAAAGATTCCCCTTGGGTTTTGAGATACAAAGCAGTCTTTACCAGTTGCAGACAATATAGTCTACCAGCCAGGGAGTGAAACAACACACTAACATTGTAGTTACAGTAGCAAAATACTCCAGGGCGGTGCGCTTTTTAAATTCTCCAGTGCTATCAAGACATGATCTATAAAATAATGCATTGTTCCTTTGAGCAGTCCCTGGTTAACCATGAGCTGCAGCTGTGTAGAGCAGTGATAGTGAGTTTTATATGGCGCTTTTTTCTGTTCAGGTCCCTCAACTTGTACATTTGGAACAGCAGTGGTACCCTTTGTGCTTCGGTGTGTGAGTTACCTTGTTTTATGCTGTTGCTATAAACATCTGTGTGATCAGTGTTTTGGTATATTCCTACATTGGCAAGCCAATTTTGGGGGGAAACTTTTTGCTGGTGGGAGTCACGTGATAAATATGTTGTCGAATATCTAACTGCAGTGATTAAAAACTACTGTCTGAACTGTACCTGGTGTTAGGCACCTCTGCACTTCACAGGGCTGTGGGACTGGAGCAGCACCTGCAGGGACCACTGGGAATGCTCTGGAATTTCAGTATGTCTATAAATATATATATATATATATATATACACACAAATATACAGGTAAGCTACAGTAACGCCGTGACGTGTGTTGTTGGATGGGAGCGATGACCAGCAGCAGAAGCCCTGAAAACAGGAAGGATTGAAGTGTGATGTGACGCGCTCCCCCAGTGTCACTGGGCGCTGTTCCCGGTGCTCCCGCACACCTGTCCGTGGCTGTATCCCCCTCCCCGGGGACACCCAGGTGTCCATGAAGGAACGTTCCTGCCCCTTGGTCCGGGTGCTCGTTCTCTCTCTGTGCCCCGGGGCCGGCCCTGGGACTACCGGCCGGGGCGCGCGGGCCCTTTAAGGGGCGCCCCGGTGGCTTCCGGGGAGGGCCGGAAGCGGAAGCGGCCGCCGTTGAGGCAGCTCCGGGGGTCCCGGCGGATCCGGGGATCCCGGGGATCCCCAGGATCCCGGTGACAGCGGGGGCGGCCCCAGGAGCGGCCTCGCCGTGCCCTCAGCGCGTCCCGGGGCGCTGGGCGCGGCCGTCACCCCGCGTTGGCTCCTCCTCGCCGGTATCCAGGGACGCGGCTCCGTTGCTGAGGGGCTCCGCCGCGGCCCGGCCATGGTGCGGCTGCACGTGAAGCGCGGCGGCGAGAGCCAATTCCTGCTGGAGGCGCCGGGCAGCGCCCGCCTGGCCGAGCTGGCGCCGCTTGCCGCCCGCATCCACAACGGGCGGTGAAGGTGCAGCGCCTGTGCTCAGGTACCGGCCGGGAACGGCGCCCGGGCACCGGCTGGGCAGCGGGAACGCGCCTCCTCCTCCCTCAGCAGGGCGGTGACCGCCCACCGAAACCGCATGGGAATTCCCGGCCTTGGGATTTTAGTGCGGGCACTGCATAGGGCTGGAAACGGACCCGCTACATGAGCCTGTAGTGGCTGCTTAAATCAGGGGCTGGAAGGGACTTAAACGTCGCGTTCCACGCTCCCTCACGGGCAGGGACAACTCCCACTAGATCACGTTGCTCCAAGCCCGGTCCAGCCTGGCCCTGAACATTTCCTGGGATAGGGCAGCTACAGCTTCTCTGGGCAGCCTGTGCCAGGGCCTCACCACCCTCACAGGGAAGAATTTCTTCCTCATATCTCATCTAAATCTACTCCCCTTCAGCTTAAAGCTGTTCCTCCTTGTCCTGTCACTCCATGTCCAAAGTTCCCATTTTGGCAGTGGAAAGGACTCCTTTGTGACCAGCAGTGTCCCTTTACACGTGAATGACACTGTTCCCTACCACGTACTTGGTGCAAAGCACCCCCTGCCATGTGATGGAATGGCAGATGTGTCTGAATTGGTGCTGAGTTCAGTTCTGAGGCAGTTTTAAAAAATGTTTCCGCCCCCACTGCGGGGCTGCCAGAGCTGAAATTCCCCTCAGGTGAGCCTGACCTGGAGGGTGCAGCCCAGCCTCACCTGCTGTGCTCCAGCCACTGGGTTTGTGGTGTGTCTGAGGCCTTACTGAGCCTGCTCTGAAATTTAAAAGAAAAAACAAACAGCTAAAGCTGATTAGGGAAATGCCAAAAAGAAAAGTGTTGTGGCTAGCAGATACCATCGAGGCTTGAATCCCTGCAGGTGTATTTGTTATATTATTGTATATGTATGTGAAATGTATGAATTTTGACATAACTACAGCATCTGTATCTATCTATGTGTCTTTATGTCCCTTAATATTTATTCCCTGTACTTAGCTGTTTAAACTGAAGGCTGGGGTTAAGGTTTGCCTGCACACACATCATGTGAAAGGCTTTTGAAAATGGTCTGTAATAACAAAGACTTTTAATCTTGTTCTCTAAACACTCAAAAGAGATGGAGGAGCTGGCAGAGCATGGTATTTCCTTGCCTTACAATATGCAAGGACTGACAGATGAGCAAATTGGAGAGCTGAAGTTAAAGGATGAGTGGGCAGAGAAGTGTGTCCCAAGCGGTGGGAGCATCTTCAGGAAGGATGAAATGGGACGGAGAAATGGGCACGGTAAGTCAAATGTAAAGATTTGTTTCTTTCCCTGCAGACACAGACCATCTATAACAAACTCCAAATTCTGGACCTGAATAGCCAAAGTATCAGTTACATACCCAGGAGTTCTGTCTTGGGTTAGGGCCTGGGGTAATACTGATTTAAAAGCCTACAGAGCAGCATATCTCTTCAGCACACAAACAATCACCAGGAGCAAGTGGAGTGTCCATTGTAATTTACTCTCCCCATTTGAAAATGTACACTTGAGGACTGGTTTTCTCCAGAGACTCCAAGATATGTCAACAGGTTGTTTTTCTAATATTTCTCCTTTTTTCTCATTGGCTGGGACTCAGACTCACTGAACATGTGTTTGTTAGTGAGAGGACAGCTTTATAATGTTGACAAATTCAGAATATTGAATGGTGTTGATATATAGGCCAAACCAAATGCCATCAAGCACCTAAGTGGGAAATAAACTGGGAATGAGTATGCTTTAATTGGATTTTTGTGTTTGAGGACAGGCTTTTTATAGCAATTAAAATAGATAAGTGTGATGTGATATGAAATGTACAGAGTATTTGCAAAACTGCCTTTGCTGTTAGATTGAGATTTTAATTAGAAAAAAAGTCAGAACACTGTGAGCTGTTGTGCCCAGTAAAAGCACATCTGCCAGTATGGTTCCCAGTAGTCCAGCAGGGAAAGGGCCTTGTTTTATGTTGTGGAGGGTATGGGATTATGGTTGTTGCTTTCTACTCAGTAGCTTTCTACTCTACCTTTGTCCCAAATGAAGTTCCAAGTCACAGAATTGTGAAACCACAGAATGGTTTGGGTTGGAAGGGACCTCAAAGCTCATCCAGTTTTGTCCTCTGCCATGGGCAGGGACACCTTCCACTAGAACAGATTGCTCCAAACCCTATCCAACCTGGCCTGGAACACTTGGGGATGGGGCAAATATTAGTCGCATGTCTTTGGGGAAAAGTAAGTTTGGCTGTCCCATGAGAAATACTGTTTTGTCTTGTAAGTTAGTGAGAAATATGGGAATGAACAATCCAACTCATAGCTAGGCTGCATCTTAGGAGTGTCTCTCCTGCTTTGTGATTCAACACTGTTTCATTCGCTCACAGTGGATTCTGGACAGGTTATGTGCTTGGTTTCTTTACAGTAAATGTGGACCATGTGTCTCTTATTTTTAGCTCCAAATGAAAAAATGCAGCAGGTTATAAAGAAGACAATAGAGGAAGCCAAGGCACTAATCTCTAAGGTAAATTTCCTCAAGTGGTATGTGGGGCTTTCTTAAGAAGTGCTGTGGGGTTGGGCAGCTTAAATAAAACCAGACTTCTTTCAGTGCAAGGGCTGCCAGCTCTTGAGAAATACCATGTAGTGATGTGAATAGTCTAATAAGAACTGACATCTCTGTTAATTATTTCCTTCGTGGCTTTTGGCAAGCTGGTTCAACAGGTTAAGGAATCAGATCCTAAACTCCAAGTGAATGCTGGCAGCCGAGCCCACGTGGAATGATTAAATCGCACTCAGGGTTTCCCAACAATTTGCTATTGATGTGTTCTTTGGGTGAATACTTGTCGTGCTTTCTGGTGAAAAATTAACTGGGTTCTGTGCTCTTCCTGGAGTCAACACAGCCTTTTGTGTTATATGTATACTTAATTGAAAAATGTGTTCTAATCTCTTAGATTATGACAGAATGGTTTGGGTTGGAAGGGACCTTAAAGCTCATGCAGTTCCAACCCCTCTGCCATGGGCAGGGACACTTTCCACTAGACCTGGTTGCTCCAAGCCCCATCCAGCCTGGCCCAGGGATGGGGCAGGGATTAGGCCTTGGTTTGACAAGCACTTGGACTCATGCTCAGTCCCAGTGAGTCTGCTCAAAGACAAGTGTGAGGCCCTTGTGGGATGGTGCTTTCAGGTATTCAGCTTCGCTTTGCCAAATCTGTAGATGTTCCATGTTGTGTGTCAACACTTGTATGACTTTGAAACACAATTTAAGTAATATTTATTATAAAATTTCCTTGTTGAATGAAATTAAAGATAGTTTGGGAAGTGGTTTGTTATGTACATCACTTTATAATGATGAAAATGAAGAAAAGTGCATTTTAAGTTTTACAGGCTAGTTAACCAGATCAAGAGTGTCCACAAGGAGGCAACATTCTCGTACCTCATTATTTTAAATACTGAAACTGTTAAATCCATAGAGAAAAGCTTTATTTCTTCTCTTTCAGATGTCTTATGTTTCTCCTTTATGCCTTGTGGTAGGGTTTGGAATGACCTCAAGTGTTTGATCACACAAGTCTCTCCAGTAACTGTGCAATAGGACAAGAGGGCACGGTCTTAAACTGTGCCAGGGGAGATTTAGGTTGGATATTAGGAAGAAATTTCTTACAGAGAAAGTAATCAGACATTGGAATGGGCTGCCCAGGGAGGTGGTGGAATCACTGTCCCTGGAGGTTTTTAAGATGAGACTGGATGTGGCACTTAGTGCCATGGTCTAGTAACCATGGCAGTGTTGGATCAAGGGTTGGACTTCATGATCTCGGAGGTCTTTTCCAACCCAGTTGATTCTATGATTGATTCTATGAATATGCCAAGCTTTATGCTTCTGCTCACATGTGCTCTATTTTTTCTTTCAAGTTTTGGGCCCCTTCTCTACCCCTCACTTGAATTCTTCTGGTTTGAATCACATTCATGAATCAGAAGTGCTTGGAACCAAAGCCTCTCTGTCTGATTTCTGTGGTCATACATGTCCTGGATTGAGTCCTGTGTCACACAGGCAGTTGGTGCTAAATGCCTCCTGCACTATTTAGTGGAGATCTCCTGTTTTTGTTTCCTCCCCCACCCCATGTAAGCAGACTAAACAGAGGGGCCCAAGGGGAGTGATGTTCTCCAAAGTCCGTATTCCAACAAGGAAATTTGCACTTCTGGTATCTTTATGCAGCCCATTAGCTCTGCTCAGATATCCCACCTCTGAAACTTTGAACTGGCTACAAAGCAAAGTCTTCTGCAGGTTTGCTTAAATTGCCAATGATCCCTGTTTGTATTTCAGAAACAAGTTCAGGCCAACGTGTGTATTAATATGGAGATGGTGAAGGATGCGTTGGAGCAGCTCCGAGGGGCTGTGATGATTGTGTATCCAATGGGATTGCCTCCACACGATCCAATTAGGATGGAGTTTGAAGATAAAGAAGACTTGTCAGGAACTCATGTATGCAGTAATGTATTCCCATTCTATGTAGTCCCTGGGTTAAACTTGTGCTATGCTGTTCTCCATCGTATCAATGAAGGTTGTTTTCACTTGCATTACAAATTTTGTTTAATATTTTAGTCTCACAGTTTACGTAAAAACACACCAATAGCTTAACAAGAAATAAAATTATTGGAGTTTATTTCAAATGTTGCATACTCAGCACTCAGTTAAGTCTGGATCTCATTTTAAATAGCTTGTCACCTCCAGTATGGAGAGCTGATTGCCCAAAGTATTCACAGGAGATCAAGATTGAATGGAATATGAATGAATGCCATAGATGAGCATGAGGAGAAAGATGTAGCAGAAGTAGGTTTTGAAAAAAAGCAAGAAACAAATAGAGCAAGAAACAACACCCCTAACACTTCACCTTGTTTGTATGTCACAGGCTGGACTTGAAGTTATAAAAGAATCAGAAGCACAGTTATGGTGGGCAGGAAAGGAGTTGCAAGAAACAAAGTTGCTGTCTGACTATGTAGGAAAAAATGAGAAAACAACCATCATTGTCAAGATCCAGAAAGTGAGTATTGCTAGGAGATATCTGTGTAAGTTCTTCACCTTTGGCTGTCTGTACTCTGTGGAAGAGAATTGTCCAGAGGTGTCTAAAATGGATTATATTAGTCCTGGCTTGAGTGTCTTAAAATGGCACATCTATTTTAAGGTTTGAATTTATTATATTCCAAATTTTTCTTTAGTAATTCCTTTGCCTGTCAGTTACATCCTGTAACTGCTATTATTATTTGCTCCATAGCACTTTTGTGAAGTACAACGAAGAGGTATTTAAAAATAGATGAAATACAAATTGAAAAGTTTTATAGCAAATCTTGTCACCTGCAGCTGTCTGCAGTGCATCCCTTGGAGATAAGTCAGGTGATTTATGTGTCTGTCATTTAGAAGACCAGAATTTCTTTCTCTTTCCTCTCAGGGTGACTGAAAAACGGTGTGGCAGCTTACCAGCCACTGAGGTGTAGGCTCCAGGGAAGTTGCCTGTTTAATTAGCTGATGGACCTCTTCAGAGGATGTAGAGTAGTGCAAGGGTTTCTCTCTGCCTAAACTATCTCAGACACTTTTTGTTCTAGAGATCATTAGCCTTCTCCATGGAAGCTGCTCTGCTTGCTATTGCTGACAGTAGCTGTCACCACCTGTTTTCTTCTCTGTGCATCATTTCTTCCAAGAGGACAATTACCTGGAAAATAAATTTTCTTTTATTTGTAGTATTTTGTAACTCCCTTCCTTCCCTGCTTTACTAAGTATTATGCCATCCTGAGTCTGTATTAGTAGGGGACCTAAAGATAGATGGGCCTATCCTGAGATATCTAGAATGACCTTAAAACAGATTTATTGTGTCTTTTAAAGTGGAAGTTAAGTAAACTAGACTCAATCCTGTTTGCATCTTCCACTGATGTCCGCAGAATTGACAACATGACTCAGATGCTGAGATGAAAAAATAACCCTCACTTGAAAAAACAACCCTCACTTTCCTGTGAGGGTGGTGAGGCCCTGGCACAGGTTGTCCAGAGAAGCTGTGGCTGTCCCATCCCTGGAAGTGTCCAAGGCCACATTGGACGGGGCTTGGAGCAACCTGATCTAGTGAAAGGTGTCCCTGCCTATGGAAGGGGGTTGGAATTAAATCATCTTCAAGGTCCCTTCCAACCCAGACCATTCTGTGATTCTATGAATGCAGCAGCATTTGTTCTTCTGTCCTGAGGGACCTTATTAAATTTGAGAAATCCTGTTGTCTGAAGGAAGGTTTTTGCTATCTTTGTATAACTTTTTGCTATCTTTTGAAGGTTTTGCTATCTTTGCAGCTTCTACTTTGTATCACAAATGCCACCAACAGTAACATCTACCATTTCCCTTCCAGAAAGGACAAGGAGCTCCAGGGCGTGAGCCTGTGATTAGTCATGAAGAACAAAAAGAGATGATGCTGTATTACTACAGAAAGCAGGAGGAGCTGAAGGTGAGTGTCTCTTTGGTGCTTCAGAGCTGTTGGAGCCTGGGCTGTGTCCCTCACTGCCTTCCTCTCCTCTCTGTTTACAGAAACTGGAGGAGGATGACAACGACTCATTTCTAAATGCTGAGTGGGCAGACAGCCATGCTTTGAAAAGGCAATTTCATGGTGTAAAAGACATCAAATGGGGTCCGAGATGAAGCTCTGCAAACCCCTTCTTAAGTTGTTTGGTCAATACTCTTGTTTGCAGAGAGGGTTGTGTGCAGTAGGTTCTTCTGTCAGAAGCTGAAATTGTCACTTCTGTAGCCTTGGGTGTTCAATAAAAGTTGACATTTCTCTGTAACTCCAGCAGCATTTGTCTCTGCAAAGAATTGAACCAATTCTCTTGAAGTTTCATATTTTATTAGAAACTTGTAATTTGAATATTGAAATGTTAATCCATTTCCTAGATAACAGATCTAGTAAATATGCACTGGAATGTTTGGTGTTGTTTGGAGTGGTCTTTATAGTTTCTTCTTATTCTTGCATTACTATTAGGTGGTGTGCCCTGTAACAGGTAATTTATTTTATGAGAAGTCAGTTTTCCCAGGCTAATGCAGGGAGAGTTAATGATTTTTATGTGCTCATTCAAATTTCAACATAGCTAATTCCAAACTATTATTTTTTTAATTGAGTTAACCTCTCAACAATTTTTTAAAGGAAGTATTTTTGTATAAAGACAAATAATACAAAAATCCTTGTGGAATGCATAATTTTCATTCATTTGGTTTAGTTTTCATTGCTGGTATATAAAGGTTGACAGAAATCTATATACAAAAACAAGCGTCATTTGCAAGTAGATTGGATAAATAAAACCATGTTTAATAGGACATGATCTCTAAGATAGGAGTAAAAAATAATCATTTTCTGTATTACTGTGGTCAGAGACAGATCAAGTTAAAACTCTCAAGTGTTGGCTGAACTCACAGCTGGAAGGCTGCATGCAGAAAAGATAATTAATGCCATTCAGTGAGCTATTAATGGTGGTTTTACTTCAATCATTGATATTTTTTTTTTTTAGTCTTACAGAAGTTTGGTGTCTGGTAGTTTTTGTTGCACCTCAACTTTCCAGTACCATGGTGTTATACAAAAAAAAAAAAATCTGCATGTGGGATTTTTCAAAGTTGCAGAACTTGCCCTATACAGCTCCGGGAATTTTTAACCATTCCCATAGCTAAAAGCTTTTTTTCCTAATGTGCTCCTTTGTCCTCATCAAAGGGTGGATTGAAGAAAATCTAGAAATACTTAATTCTTAATGTCATTGGCATTGTAACCCCCAATGGTATGGTGGATGTTTGTGATCCATAACTGGGATGGGGAACACTCAGTGAAATCATCAGAAAATCACAGTTTGTTATAAAGGTTGTTGGTCACCTGGTCCAGCTCCTGGTCAGTGCTGCCCACATTGCTGGAAGTGTTGCTGTGGCTTTTAAGGAGATTTCTACAGATTCAAACCCTCTCCCCTCTCCCTGTTGTGCTCTCCATAGTGGTTCCATGGGGATTTGTATGAATGCTGTCTGTTCAAAACAGGTTCTGCCTTGAGTAATTCCTTTGTTTGGACAACTATATGGAAGTGCTTCAATAAATAACCCAAATGACTTTGTAGATTAATGACTTAGGGTTGTTACACATTTGTTTTTCTCTTTCCCGGCAACTTCCTAAAATATTTACATCCTTTTGGCAGCCAGAAAAAAATGTAATGCTGTTTATGAGCTTTTAAAGCAGGTTGTGAGGCAGCCTGGCACTTTTTGTGTACGGGGGGGGAGTTAAAGGGAGTTACAGCTCTGCTTGTGACAACAATTCCCCTCCCTAAAATCTCACCTCTGTTTAAGGAGCTGGCTGAGGGCATCTGGGTTTTGTCCTGCCAACCTGGGAGGGAGATTCCCAAAAGATGGACTGTCCATATGCTCCCCAAGGTGGAGATCTGCACCAGGGCTGGGGCCTGCAACATGACCTTAAGCCAGTGGTGCTTGTTTATTGGAATTTCTGCACCCCAGAACAATTCCTTAGCGAGATTACTTCTTTGTCTGCTCCTCCTCATTTGGAAGTATCTTTTTTAAGTTACTTGTTCATAACTGCCTTGAGCTTTGTGGCCTCACCAGGGAGCTTCCCAGGTGTTTTGAATCAGTTACAGTGAATGCTTGAAATATCCGACTGAATCCCTCTCACCAGTAGAGCTTTCATCTTCGATTAGCATTGTTTGAGGAGTTTGTTCTGGGGGCTCCCAGCCCTTTAAATAACTGATGTCATTGCTGGCTTTTGGCCATTGAATTTATTGTCCTTGATACCAGGAAAATATTCCATAGCAGAGGAGGCAGAGTGAAATAATGGAAGGAGTCAAGAAGTCTGGCTATCTGTCCAAGACTTGTTGAGAGTTACTCTGTCAGGGAAAAAGAGACTTTAAAATTACCATTGGACAGAGGATTCTGAGAGGGGAGATGTTTGAACAGGACCTTTGATTATGGAGCTTACAATATTCTCATCTCCTTTCTAAAAGTGAGGGCAAAGCAGACATAGGAAAATCCATTTTATTCTGCACACCTTTGACTGATGTTCTCTGCTGTAATTGGTGCTGTTTTCTTCTTTAGCTGAGAAAACTTTCCGTAAGATCCAAGTTTTTACCACAGTATTTGTGGATCTGCTGGATTCATTTATTATGGCTGAAATTGAATGAACTCACTGCAAAAAGATTGAAGACTACAGGAACCTGGGAAAGCCTATAGGTATTTTAACTATCCAGGGATTTTGAGATGATGAGACAGAAACACCACACAGAGTTTGCATATTTTCTTTTAAACTGTTTATTTCTGGAAGTTTGAGAGCAGCTGTGCCCTTCCAGAGGGAAAACCCAGTCTTTATCAAAGGACATGCAGAGTGGAATGTTGCTAAAATGTTTGTTCTGTGGCCATATCACCATCCTAATGAATGGAAGTGGTTTCCAGACCTAGTTTCACTCCTTTTCTCCTTTTCAGTTTTGCTTTCCCAGGTTGTCCCAGGCTCTGCTTTCACCCAGGATTTGGAAGGATTTATTTACTGCTTCCTGCAACCTCACCCAGGGATTCCTGGTGACAAACTCAGGGTATTTTCAAGGCAGGAGTGGGGAGTTTGAACAGCCGTGCCAACATTGCACGTTGCCTTCCAGCAAGTTTAGGTGTTGATGTCATTTCATGTCATTTCCAAAGGCATGTTATTCCCACAGCCACGTGTGTGGCACAAACCAAATAGTCCATAAAACCGCCAGCTCTCCTCTGCAGTATTTTCTCCTTAGGCTGCTCTTCTGGGAAGTTGCAGGGATTTTACTGCTGTAACTCCATCCAGCCCTGAGTGCCCTCCCCATAGTGATGCTGCTGCCGCCCCATGGCACCCTCCCAAAAGATACCTCTGAGGAAATGGATTCCAGCTATGGCACTTCTGCTGGATTTTTCAGGGCTTGGGGTAAGTACATTCCTCCTTAATTCTCTAGTTTCTCTACTGGATGCTTTTTTTGCAGAGGGTGTTTTTTCAGAAAGATTGAAATAACTTCTGTTTCTCAGGCTTTTCCATGTTTGTCTTCACTCTGACTTTCAGACTGCTGTGAACAGTGAACATTTGGGAATGAGGTGAACCACTAATTGATAGCTTTCCCCAGTTAGACTTGGAAAGTTTATGCAGAAAGAATAAAATAGCAACCCAAATTCAGACTATAAATAGTTCAGTCAAGGGAACAAATCCAGAGTGAAGCTTGACCTCCCAGCCTGGAGCAAAAGCTGCTTTCCCTACCCTACTGAGTTGCTCCTGGTGCTGGACTTCTGACAGGTTTTGTCACCATGTCTGAGGATCCATTTAAACAGGTATGCATTACTAAGCACCTTTTTTTTTTAATTCAAAACAGATTCCCAGAGACTGTGGAATGCTCCATATTGGGAAGGAGGCACCTGCAGGAATCTTTTACTGTGCACCTCCTGTTTTGGAGCCCAGCCCACTCTCCACAATCCAGTTGGATCAGTAAAAGGAAGAGGATAGGGGTTTTTTGGCTAGTACGATCTGTCAGCAGGGGGAATTGTTGATCAGTCCCTTTCTGTCTGACTGGGAAATGGGTGGCACCTGCCCCATGAGTCAGGAGGAAGGAGCCAGCTCCTGCCCAGAGCTGTCCTACACCTCCCCACAGGGCCAGGCAAAGGCAAACCCACCTTCTTCACCCTCAGGACCAAGGCATGGGGTTCTCCAGACAAAAATCTGTTCATCGATATTGTGCCGTAGCACAGGCTGCAATGACTTTCTGTGGGGAAGGGGAGAGCAGTCCCAGCAGGAGTGCAGCCAGAATCCTGGGCTGTGCCTGCCTCTCCTGCAGTTTCCCAGTGCTCTGAGTGACCTCAGCCCTCAGTCCTCTCCTCAGCCTTTCTTCCTTCCTCTGATAGGATGCTAATTGCTGCTGAGATTTTTCCAGCTGAGCACGGGATTGTGCCTTAGTCATCTGAGCAAGTCCCCTTCCTCCTTTAAAGTTTTCTCAGGCTTAATTTGACTTTGTATCAGTAGGAAATGAGAAGTCATGTCAACTCTTTTCTTTCCAAGTGTTTCATACTGCTTGGCTCTACCTGGACATGCAGCGTCTGAGCAGGGAAGCAGAATGAACCCATGAAGTATTCCCAACAGGAAGTGACATTTTTCCTCCTTTTGTTCAGTAAATTCCCTGTGGGCTGCAGCTAAAATATTGGAGACATTTTAAAGACAGGAAGCAGAACTTAACCCCCTTGTAATCAGAATCACTGTTACCAGAGGAATAGGGTTTATTAGGGAAAGGTTGAGTTAAGGAAACAGCAGAAAAGCTTCAGGAACTTGTGTTTAGTTTTGCTTTGTCCTGCACATGCCAGTAATAATACTCATATTTCTCATCAATAGAGCAAGTTTTGATGTAATTTATGAACTGCAACACCCTAACTGGTTACAAGAGCCATCTAACACAGAAAGTATTTCTCCATGTGATGTTTTTTTCCACTTTTTTTAATATTCCTCAACCTGCACGTGGCAGTTGATCCCAAATTACAGTGAAAAGTAATCCATAACATGAATTAAAACTATGAAAGTGTTTTTCAAAGAAGTATTTATAGACAGTCAAGGGTATGAAACTCTCTGTTTATTGCATGTATTTCATCTTATTTTACAAATAATTACATGGATACAAATGTTCCTTCACAGAAGGTACATTTCTTTTTTTTAAAAAAAAAAAAAAAAAAGGGCTAGGGCATCATCCAAAATAAGCCATTTATTGTTCATTAATATAAAATGTATTCATATTTCTAGGAGGTGTCATATCCACACCACTGTTCATCCAG